GAGTAAGTATATGTCCCATGAGGGAGTTTCCAAACTGCTCACACCCTAGGTATGTACACTGCTATATGTGAAATCAAATCAGTATTCAAAAATGCTGCCAAGAGGCAGGTCAAGATACATGGAGAACTCTGTGGACTTTTCACTGGGAAAGTATAGTACACTTTCCCAGTGAAAACATTTCCCTCCACACACAGAAAATGACATTGCATCAAACTAGATGCTTTATGCAATTTTCACAGTGCTGGACATTTTCTAGTAAAAGATTTGTCTAGTAAAAGATTTTTGAGACAATCCGTGTTTACCTGTTCCTTCATAGAACTACTAAAGAGAACTAACCTAGAGTTGAGCAATAACAAGATGAAATAAAAAAATGCAAACGAGAGGTGCATTATTTGGTAACATATATCAAAGAAAAGGAAAAATGGACATGACATGAAGACTATCTATAAACTGGAATTGCAATTAAGGGTGATAGTTCAATATCATAAAAACACACATATCCTTCTTCCAGAAGACAAATACTGTCTATAAAGTGAAAAACCCAAAGATTAAATGCACAGCTGAGAAACTTTGAATGCATGTATCCCTTAGAAACATGGTCTATGAAGCTGGTATTTACAAAGGCTGTAAAGATTCCTCTCACATTTCTACTCTACTACTTTCAAATATAACCTGCATCAAAATTAGTGGACACTGTAATCACAAACCTCAAATGTAATATCAACACTCTAGTTTAGAACCCGGATTTTTCCAAGCTATAATTAATGAAGCATGAAACCAATCAAGTCACTGGGCCTTATAAATTCTGCTTCAAAACCCCTGTTTCATAGTATTCATATGTTTGATTATAAAATTATATTGTAAAAATAATCAATAATGCATTTTTAATGTAGCATTTCTGAAAAAGTTAGGTACTTTTGGATTAAGGATACCTACAAATATCAAATCAAATCAAATTGCTAAAAATAAGGACTGTTTCTTTTATGTTAACAAAATGTGTCATTTTATATGGCCTAGTAAAGCCAATAAAACAAAAATAAGATTTTAAAAAGCCAGGAAGTAAAAGAATGGCAGTCAGCAACCGTGTAGAAGGAAAATAGGATTACATTTATTGGGTATTATATCAACTTAACTTCTCATAAAATACTCCTGATCTACTTAGTAACTTCAGAACTGAAGTATGCTCTCCAAAGGGAGTTGTAAAACAAATTAGATACAATTACAATTCAATACAAATAAAAAGCCAAACTATTTACTCTTAAGAGTTTTCATTTTATAGCTTTACCATTTAAATTAGACCAGATTTTCTCCTAATCTATCAAGTGGGCCACTTGGCATAAGCATAGCTTTTTTCTAGTATGTTTTCCATAGAGAAAAAGAGATGATGTGAATATATCCTGGAAAACTGCAGTAACCACATCTCCCTAGAGTGAACACAACAAACATCTGGTATAAGAGTTGCTTGTCCTTTCCAACATCACATAGGGGGTTCTTTCACCCAGTATTTTCTTATGGTGTTCTTGTTTTGCTTTGTTAAAAAACAACATATGCTTCTACTATCAATTCTCAAGATACAAAACCTTAAAATTCTGGTGAGTTGGACAAATCACGACCAGGTATACTATAGGAAGGAAAGATACGCTACCTAAGATCCCACCTGTTTCTCAAAGGGCAGCAGATAGCTGGGCACGTTGCCCACTTGTGGGATATGCAGTAATTTTAACCATTGTCTTCCTTTCTTAATTCTGTGCTCCATACAGACAGCAACATGCACAGAATGAGATGAGGCTAAAATATTTAACTTCCTGATGATTTTCATCTTGTTGGAGTCTCTGCGACCAGTCACCTTTCTCCTCTGAGTCTCACTGGCTTCCGTCCACTTTTGAGTTAACAGTTATCTTAACAAACAAGTGAATTTTCAAATTTTACTCAAGTGACAGGACAAATCCTGGCACATTTCCCTCAGGAAAACATAAAAATACAATAATTTTCAGGAAGAGAGGACTCACCAAGTCTAAGTGCACACTGCTTTTTCTTAACTGTGTGCTACATTGTTAGTGTTTCCTGTTAAGCTGAAGGCATCGTCCTTGATTTTTGAGTAGAATTTCTCCCCTTAAAAGTCACAGATACTTTGCAAGGTAAAATATTTTTACCTTGGTAAATATTTTACCATCTTTTTAACACTAAAAAGCATCACCAACTTATGCAGAGTCTAGTAGGCACAGACAGACAAAACATTTGTAAAGCTGTAAGACACAGGGCATATAGTATCTTAACCAAAGGAAGAATAGCAAAAAGATGACCATATCTAAATACATATCTAAAATATATTTCAAGTAACATAGGACTCTGTTTGCCTTTTAATTTCCTACTGCTGTTCCCAACCAGTTTGAAAGTATTTTTTATTCAACATGGAAGATTCAGTTTTATGTTAACAGTAAGGTATTGATTTAATTCTTAAGACATTCCTGAGACTCTTTCAACCGGGCATTATATAAACACATGATAGAGAGTAACCTCTTTGTCATCAAGAGAAAGATGGGATGCTTCCCTTTCTTTTCTCGGGGTGAGCAAGCACTTCACTGTGCTTCTGCAAACCTCAAGGTCTACCCTAGAATTTCCCCCTTTCCCTAGAAAATACTCGTAAATGCTGTTAACATGCACCCATATGGTATACGTTGATACGACAAGGCAAAGTGCTTTACCTAAAAACATCTACAAGCTGGTACTGTATAAATTCTATTCACAAGCAAAACATTCCAGGAAAATTAAAGTTGATACAAGCGGGAAGGAAAATGAAGTTCTCATGCAGTTTAGTATGTTCAAGTTTGGGAACATTTTCAAACAATATCTATGACTATTCCATATTTACAGACATCAGTTACTGACTCACAAAGGAATATTTGTGCCCTTTTTTCAGGATGAAATAGCCAGTTAATATACACAAGGACTACTCAGAAGCAAGCAACTTCTAGAAGCTTCTTTTATTCAATGTGAGTCTCTAACTCCTATAGAGGGTTGCCATGGGTCATGTAGTAAGTTTAAAGAGTGTATCTGTTGGGGCTGGAGAGATGATCCAGTGGTTAAAGGCATGTACTGCTCTTCTGGAGGATGCAAGTTCAGTTCCCAAGGGATCTGATGGCTATAGCCTCCAGGATGTCTGCACCCACACTTACATACTCTGCCCCATAGTGAAAACAATGAAAATAAATTGTTAAAAAACGTGTTTGTCTTGGTATCTGTTGTCAAAGAAAAATATTCTTTAAAAGCTCAAAGAAAAGTTTCTGTCAGCCACATCTAACTGAATTCAAGAGATTCAAGGTTTGGTTGGTACTTGTATCTATTTCTACATTATACTAGCATATCATATATGCCTTTTACATGTACATAACTATATTATCTATCTGTATTGTATAATAGCACTTAGTTTTCATATCATCTGTGAGAATGACATACTTTGAGTAAAGCACCTCACAGCATAAACAGATGTAGCACTGGTAACAAGCCATCACTGTATTTGTGTATACTCCTTCTACAGATAGAAAGCTTAATGGCAAGAAGTTAACACATGGACCAGAGTGCAAAGAACAGGTCCAGGAGGCGTCAGAATCACAGTGCAGGACATCTGCACGGTGATGATCTAAAATGGCTCTTTCTTCTTCTTCCCCCTCTCTCTCTCTCTCTCTCTCTCTCTCTCTCTCTCTCTCTCTCTCTCTCTCTCTCTCTCTCTCTCTCTCTCTCTCTCTCCCCATCTGTGTGCCCCCCCTGTTAGTTTTTTGAGACAGGGTTTTGAGACAGCTCTGGCTGCCCTGGAACTCATTCTATAGACCAGACTGGTCTTGAACTCTGCCTCCACCTGCCTCTACCTTCTGAGTGCTGGGATTAAAGGCATGCACCACCACTACCTAGGTGCTATTTTTCTTTACTTACTATCAAATATATTTTCTGGTATCTCTAAAAAGTGACACGGTAGTAAGTCTTGAATGCTGAAGGAGGCAACTACAGATAGCTCCGTGGGCTAAGTAATGAATCGCTGTGTTTCACTGTTTTTTTTTTTTTTTTAAGCAAATAAAACTATTCATACACAGGCCCTCCTCCATTTAATACTTTAAATTAGAATAAATCACCCAAATTAATCCTGTGCACTTAGAACAATTTGTTAAGAAGCCAGACACAAGAACAAAGCTATTAGCCATGGGTCCACAATAAATGTGAGGGAAGGCTGGAGTTAAATCACATTATGCTCTTGGTTCCTTATCTACTCTCTCAGACTGAAGGGCAACATCATTCATTGCTATTAATCATTACAATTTTCTGAGGGAGAGAAGAAAATATATCCGGTAGAGTACAGGTGCAAAGGAGTGCAACAGAAGGTTTGATTCCACTGCACCTAAATTATAAGTTTATATCTTACTATTTTATTGCTAGAAACCACAAACTCAGCTCATAGTTATACTGTTTACTCAGAATACCTCACACTTTCATAAGAAAGAAACAAGATATGAAATGAAATTAGGTGAGGAGAGGGAAGAGTAGAGCCATATTAAAACATATTTGGTGGTATGGAACTTGTAAGATAAGACATCAGCTTTTCAATCAACAGCAAGTATTTCAGAGAGACAAGAACCTGGCATTTGAGGACATGCAATGTCTGGTTAAAGGGACAATGTGTCCCTCTGAAAGGTGGTGGAGAAGATAACCAAATTGGAGGGTGAAATTAAAATGTTGTTAACTAGGCCTTTACCTCTTCAAAATAAAAGAGAAAATACCCAGGAATGTCTTCCAGTTAAAAAAGAATCTGTAGTTTTCAAGCAAGGTTAGGTATATAAATGATAATGGGAATTTTGTATCCCATGATAATGATGCTTTCATGGAAAAAACACACGTCACTCACATCCATAGTTATGTGTCTTCTTAGATTCCAACATGGTGGCAGCAGTTCAACAAATGAGCAAACAAACCAAGCGGGCAGAAGTATAACACTAATGAGACATGCATACCTCTTGTACTGAGCGAGCTGCTGGCTTGTCTTGATGATTGGCCAATATTAAAAAGGGTAAAGTGCATAACTGTGGGTGCTGAAGAGCTGAGTGAAGTTCATTTCTAGCCGTTTCTAAATCATCCTCTGAAGAGGCACTGTCTAAGACGAATATTACTCCTTGAGATCCTTGGTAGTATCGGCTCCAGTATTTCCTGATATTATCAGCTCCTGTCAAAGGAAACAAATTTCTATTTTAAATAGTTCTCATCCACTTAAAAATGCCCCAATAGGAATTCCTACTGGAAAACAGTGTATCTTTTCAAAAGTGAGTGCTAAAGTCTGGTATAGAGTCAACTAGGAATCTAAAAGTCCCAAACGTGTCGGTAAAGACATCATAGTTGATAGGTAGATATAGCTGTGAAGCAGAACACAGACATTTTAATTGTTCTTCATGTTTTTATATCAAAAGAAGTGAGAAATGACCAGGATAACACCTCTTTTATTAAAGTCAAAAGAATGTTTTCAGATATTGTTTGTCAGTCCTAAATGAACTAAGCTCTCCACAAACAGAGTAACAGCCAAACTCAGAGAGCAATGTAACCTAGACATTCACACAGCATCTTACTATCCCATTTCTGTAAGTTTGTTAGTAGTTTTTAATAGAATAATACTATGCTTGAAATATTCCCCAAGTGCTCAAACTTTAATTTTATGTTGATGCTACTTGGAGCTGGAGCCTATGGAGGTAATCAGGTTAGAGATACAAGGACAAGGCCCCATGATGGGACATGGCTTTATGACAGGAAGAACAGACAGCCACACTTTGCTGCTCAGTCTCTCTGACCACTGGTGTCTGCTGCCACATCAAGGCACAGTTCGACCCTCACCAGATGCAAAGCTTCAACCTGGGACTTCCCTCCTCCAGACCTACACTAAATTTCTTTTCGTTAGAAATTGCCCAGTCTGTATTTTGTTGTAGCAACAGAAATTGGACTGAGACACAGAACTGAGCAGCCTTGTTTAACTCCACATAGAGAGTTATTAGCATCATAACTTTTTATGTCAAAATACTGAAATTTGCGAACCACTAAAATCTTGGCCTTCTATATATGTATAAATCCACTTGGGTTTACTACTCATGAGGAGAAAGAAAAAGCAATTATGTGCACTCTTGATATCAATGAGACAAGGTGCTAAGAAGAGACTCTTGAGAAGACAAGTCTTGTCACTCTTGGTATTTCTGATTGAATTGTGCTAGTAGACAGTTTGCCCAGGAAGGGCATAGGCATCTACCAGTAACTCTTTTTTTGTTTGTTTGTTTGTTTGTTTTTTTGTTTTTCGAGACAGGGTTTCTCTGTGTAGCTTTGGAGCCTATCCTGGCACTCGCTCTGGAGAACAGGCTGGGCTTGAACTCACAGAGATCCACCTGTCTCTGCCTCCCGAGTGCTGGGATTAAAGGCATGCGCCACCACTGCCCAGCCAGTAACTCCTTTTATTTCTTTGTTTTGTGAATACGATGGACTTCTCTGTGTGTATATCAGTGGTGAGCAAAAGGGATGTAGTTAGTTATATAACAAGAATTAGATAAGTAATTTACTAATCTGTGGCATATCATCCAGTCCTAATCAGTTGATAATTATGTTTTAGTCATGCATTGAAAGTTAGCTCCCATGTGTGACATACTGTGTTAAATATAAGGGACCTAAACAATGCAGACTAGACTAGCAAAAGCTGCTTATTTATATTTCTTCCCAACTCTGTATTCAATGATGTCATATTAGCAGCTCCCACCAGGGTAGAAGTGGAAGACAGCCTGGCCTCTGCTTTCCCTGTTGAGCCAACACATCATTGGGTAAAATAGAGCAGCTGCTATTTTCCACGAGAAACAGGAAACCTAAAGGCTCTACTAACAGTCTGTGAAAGTACCAGCACCAAGGTGCTCACCTAGAGCAAGGCACAGAAATTAAAAATCAAGACATGTGAGATGGTAGCTAACATCTATTAAGCACTAAAACATGGGATAAGTCACCATTACAAGATATTGATGAACCAAGGGACAAATAAGCATCAAGGGCATTTGATGAGAAATGGTTAGATAAGGGAACAGGAGGGATATGACCTATGCTGAGACATATTAGAAAGGACAGAATAAAAAAAACAAAAGATAAAGAGCCAGGAAATTTAAACCCTAGATTATCTGAGATGTGAAATTCATTGCTTAAGTGAGGGGAACCAATAAAACAACAGAGTAATGGAGATTACCCACATGTGAGGTGAGGTTCCCTAAAAGCACAGCCTGATTATAAGCACAAACTTGATTATAGGAAGAATGCTGCCCAAAGAAAGAAATCAGGGGTGAAACAAGTCAGCTAGATGGGGGAAGAAACTCAGTGAAGATCTGACTTCAGATATCTCACCCCAGGTGATCCTCCAAGGAATTCTTAGAGTGTGGACTGAATCACATAAGATGTCCAGTCCAGAATATCTCTGTATAGCTATGAGCCACTCCTGGGTACCTGGATGGGACTGGGACCAGACCTCAAAATTATAACTGGCTGAGGCAGATACTGTCAGCCAAGAGTGGTCCTCAGGAGAAGGGTACAGGTGTGCATCATTAGCAACCAATACCACAGCAGCTGGGAGATGGATGCACTGGCCCAGTAAAGGAGATCTGCGAATGATACCAACAGCATCTGTTACAAGCTAAATCCAGACACTATCCATATGCTAGAAACACATCCATAAGTCTGAGAGACAAAAGTGACAGCAGTGCTACCCAGCGATGATGACTGTTTAAAAATAACAAAATACTGTGTATGTGTGTACCCAAATTACTATAAATTTTACTAACACAAAAATGTGAGATACACAATTGTCATGCAATAATACCTGTGGTTTGTTCTACTGTTAATTCCACAAAGCCAATGAAAAAGTACGGAATGTTTTCACTGACTTTGTAACCATAAAAAACAATGGTTGCAACTGATCAATAACTAGTTCTGATATGCTTATTGGTGGTCTAAGTGCTTAATGAGGAGTAATTCACTCATCAAAGGCAATCTGATGAAGTAGGTAATACTTTTTAAATTAAAGACTTATTTTTTATGTGGATGGGTGTTTTCTCTGCACCATGTGTGTACAGTGCCTGCAGAAGCCAGAAGAGGACATCAGGTCCCCTAAAAGAGGAGTTCCTGAAGGTGGTTAGTGACCAAGTGGGTACTGGGAACAGAACCTGGGTCCTCTGCAAGAACAAGAAGTATTCTTAACTGCTAAGCCATCTATCCAGGTCCAGAGATCAGTACTACTATCATTTTCTATTTATCAACATAAACACCATGACACAAAAGTATCAGGTGGATTTATCCAACACTGTACATTCAAAATACATTTAGATCTAAATTCGGCTGAGATAGGGTGATCACTGACCAGAAGTGATGAGCTAAATAAAGAACTGTATTACCACATAAGTCACAGTGGGGGGAGGGGCTGGAAGTGTCTCTGCGCGCGCGCGCGCGCGCGCGCGCACACACATACACACACACACACACACACACACACACACACACACACACGTCCAAGTAGCACTACTTCTAAAACATTTCCCAGCCAATAAACCCAATACTTTAAAAGTAACTAGTCCATACAAAACAATAAGGAAGGGTCTAAAGAGAGATTTAGAAAGCTATTATTCATCTTAACACAAAAGACAAAATCCTCCAAAAGTAACGTCAAGTATATGGCCTATAATCTATCAAAAGGAACAAATATAGTCACACACACCATGATGTCCAAGGCACCAAGCATAAAGAAGAAAACAGTGGACAAACATTTCAGAGACTATCCACTGGAAACTCAGGGGACACAATGGAAATCCAAGATGAAGGCAGTCATCTCCTTCAAAGAAAAACTATACTTTTATTTTTCACATTCAGAAATATTCAAGGCTCGAAAATGGAGGGACAAAAATGACAGGAACTCAATCAACAGTACTGGTGAATGGAAAAAAATCAAAGGAAGATACTGTTCTTTTTCAAGTGTTCTTTACATGGCTTAATATATTAATACTTCATTTTTAATAGTAAAAAGATGTCTTAATTTCTTAAGACAAAATCTTCATGCAACCTTTAGTATCCCTGAGTTTCTACACAAACACTTGAGCTTGGAATTCTAAATTGTAGTTTATCTAACTATCAATGGCTTTAGTCAGCAGCAGCGAACCCAGACTAGGGCCATGGAAACTAGCAAAGACGTGATAGGTGGAACAGTGGAGAAAAGGCTATGACACCGACCAAGGTACCAGGTGCTTTTGAGGATGAGACTAATTGATGATCACTTTCCACCCAGGAAAAGCATGCCATCTCACATAGTTCAAAACCACTCTTACTCCACAGACTGAAGTACATTCTATATCCCTTAAGTTACAATTATTACAAAAAATAGCTAGGTACCAAACTCAAACATGATATACATTTTTTTTTTTTTTTTTTTTTTTTTTTTTTTTTTTTTTGCCATGGGGGAATTTTAACAGTAGAAGAGCTTTGAAGAAGGTTGTTAGCCACACCACTGAAGGCCCAATAATGACTTATTAGAAGTTGTAAGGATAGGCTAGGGACATGAATCAAGAGGGTAAAGGGATTGCTGTGCCAAGATGAGGACCTGAGTTCAGATCTCAGAACCCACATCAAGCCAGACCTCTTCCCACAGACAGATGGGAGGCAGAGACAGAAAAAGCCACAGAAAGCCCCCAGGTCAACTGGTGAGATCTTATACACAAGGCGGTGAACAAGAGATCCTAGAGGACGACAGGAAGCACGGCCGTTGTGACAGTCCTCTGACCTCCACTATGATATGCAGGGTTGTTTTTTGTTTTTGTTTTTTAAATTTCACTTTACATTCCAACAACAGTATCCGTCCTCCCACCCCCTCCACCTTCATCTCCCCTTGCCTCCTCACACCCTGCCCCCACCTCCCTGTCCTAGGGTTTTTATGGCTACAACAAAATACCATGACCAAAAGCAATGTGGTAAGTTTCAGCTTACAGTTCCATATCACAGTCTGTCACTGAATGAAGTCACGGCAGCAACTCAAACAGGGCAGGAAAACAGAGACAGGGACTGATGCAGAGGTAATGGAGGAGTACAGGTTACTGGCTTGCTCAAATAGTTTTCTTAGAGTACCCAGGATCACCTGCCCTGGGATGGCACTGCTTACAGTCAGTCAGGCCTTCT